TCCGAAATACTATAAGGGATCTGATACTGCACACTAACATTCTGCCTTTCAGAAACTACTATTGATTCGAAGTGTTGGAAGCCGCCGACAACACAAAGAACCGGACGCGCGATTGGCAAGAGCCACAACTCGTCCTGGGAGAACTGAACTGAACTGAAGTGAACTGTCCTGTCCTGTCCTGAACGGACTGACCTGAATTTGTGGTTTCAAGGTCAGTAGATCAATCCGGACACTTATAAAATTTTAGTAAGCAAGCGTGACGTGATGATGTTATTACCAGAAAGTGTCTGACAAAGGTTGTCGTGTGGGTACAGAAGTGGGACTTAAAGCTAAACGCTACAAAAAATCGTGCACTAAACGCTCCAGGGCTTCAAAGTGGCTGGAACGAACGTATTTCTCATTTTTACGTATCTGGTGGACTAGGTACTGCACCTAAAAATTCACCCTTTCAGACAAAAGGAGAACGAACGTTTGACGAGCAGTGTTGAAAGCCAAGGAAACTAGCTGACAAAACAGCGATTTGGACGCGCCATTGGCCTCGACCACTTCCGTCCTTTGCAAACTGAACTTAACTGAACTGTTTCAGTAGATATTCCACTCCAATAGCTCTTGCATTAGTTTTCCGTTTACCAGTTTCGTTCGTGATCTGTTAAAGATCGCAAATCTTTTACTAGGCAATCTGTTTGCATGCACTTTGGTGTTTTGCAGGCTTAACGCATTTTTTTGAGTTCGATAAAGCTTATTTTTTATGTTTTTCTATCACTGCGTGTCTAATTACGTAGAGTTAGAGAACTGTTTGTTTAGACATTCTTGTTTAACTTGGAATGACACAAACAAGGTGGGGCCAGTTGTTGCGGAGGATGTGTCACCCAGGCGATTCAGTGCGACAGCTGTGGAGTGTGGTACCACCAGTGATACTCTCAGTTTTCAGTCTTCAGTATTGAAGGCAGAGGGCAGGGTGCCCGTGTAAGCCCCATCACCACTGGGTCGACGGTCCGATCAGAAGTCTTCCTCCATAGCCCCCTCAGGTGCTCATCCAGACACCGTTTGAAAGCAGCGTGTCTTCTCTTCCACCACGATCGCTGGAAGGGAATTCCAGAGTGTTGTTGTTGTTGACCTCCGCGAGAGTCGGTAGACTAACGGAAGACCAACTGACTGATGTTTACTCAACGTGAGAGTGCCCTCGCCTGCCGGGGCAGATCATGAAGCCTTTAAAGGCTAAGAAGTCTGTGGTTAAACCTGAGGTTCAACCTAACTACCGGAAAATGGTACAACGGATTGAGCAGTTGGGGAGAGAACTTGAGTTGCCTTAAGGAAGCAGCGAACTTTCGTTAAGAAGAAGTAAAACCTTGCTGCTGCATAATTGCGCGGAGCCCGTTATAAACATGGCGAAGCCGAGGCGAGAGGCTGAACATCACTATGTGCAAAACATTTTTAGGCTAGCAGGGTTGCCCCCGAACGCTCCATACACCAAGTGTCATAGAATTGGTCTGTGTAAAGAGGAAATCTCTTAGGGATATACTATTATCACGAGCTTCAAGGATCGAGGATCTTACTCAGAGGTGTGTAATAGTCACCCCCGATAGACCTATCAGGGTGATGCACCTAGCTAGAAAAGAAAATAATGTAAGCGCCCATCACACCAAGGCGTAGTCCTTTGCGTGCCAAGGACTGGAGCAAATCCACACCAGAAGTACCAAAGAATTTACCTGCAAAACCATATGTAGGAAAGGGCCTACAAAAGAGGTCTAAAGGGGTCGACGCCTCGGTCCGCAAGGTAAGGTCTCCTCAACGATCAAGCTAAAGACGAGGTGTAAGCGCGCGTCGAAGCTTCAAGAAAGGCGGTTCTACAGCTGAAGAATTCCATTTGGCTTAGGAATGCAATCAGCTTCAGGACAAAAATCCGAGTTTTCTCTGCAACAGTCCGTCCTGTCTTCCTGGATGTGAAACATGGCCACTTAGTCGAATACTGTCGACGATTAGAAATCTTCGATCACTGGTGCTTAGGAATCATTCTGAGAGTACGATAGAGAGATCAGCTCTCAACTGAAGTGGTCAGAAATAGGTGTTTTAATCTCTTTTGGCTGCGAACGCTAATACAATGGCGTCGATTACAATGGTTTGGTAATACACATCATAAGTCTGATGACCTGACAAAAGCTGTCTTGGCACTGCCTCCATTCCCGAACTGGCGCCGCCGACAAGGTGGTTAGCTAAAACCTGGCTCGACACTGTACGAAAGGATACAGAAAAACTTGGTCTCCGCTCCGTCTACAGCATTCGCCAATGGAAGTCAGGCTGAATCACAATCTGCGCTGATCTTGCCGCAGACCGCCGAGCGTGGGCAGCGGCAATTCGGGATATCCATAAAGCCGGATTATCCTCTCCCAGGAGCCAGCCGCCGTAAGGTAAAGTATTGGAGCAGACAGACGACTTCAGTATCATGTATGGCACATATCCAGGTTGTTATTACAACGTGGAAGTTATATCGCACATCCTTACTTGATCCACTACCATAACCCTTTTAAGTTGGTACAACGAAGAGTTTCAAAGTTTTTTCACGGTCTTCTGTCTAGCCTACATGCGTCTGCATTCGAAATGTTCATCGCTCGAAGACCGTTGAATCTGAGAAGACAGGAACGGGAGACTGATCTTCGTCCGACCTCTACCCTTTGACCTTCCAGGCATAATTAGATCTTCGGCTTGACAAAAGCCATCCTGTATAGCTCGTTGGGTCAGCGAGGTGCACAAGCCATCACACCACGTCAAGGTACAGTCTCGTAGTTATTTGACGTTATGGTCTTCGGTGGCCGACAAATTTGTGGGCCCTTCTTGTGCTATGCTGGACCAATCTCTAATGTCATTCCTTTTTTATTTTAGCTAAAACTCCGTCTGTATTTCGATCCTTTTCCACCATATCTTCTTGCCGCTATCTAAATGAGTCAAACCGAAGAAACACCGTCTGTGGAGCCTGTTGGCGATGCTTCGAAATTCCACAAACCCGGTGAGAACTATAATTCTCCTGGTTATGTCATCACAAAATCGACAAAACGGCTTTTACGCGAGCACCTAAAGCGCACTGGTGGAAAAGTTGTGACTCGCTTCCCCCCGGAACCGAACGGTATACTGCACATTGGACATGCAAAAGCAATCAATTTCAACTTTGGCTATGCAAAGGTAAACACTTCACATCACGCATACTGGATCATTTCTTCTTCTAGAAATTAGGCGGTATTACCTACTTACGGTATGATGATACAAACCCCGAAAAAGAAGAAGAGGAGTTTTTCAAAGCAATTAAAGAAATGGTCCTTTGGCTCGGTAAGAACGTATTCTTGTGCGCACTAACCCCCCTCGCCAGGATTTACACCGTATAAGGTTACACATGCGTCCGACCATTTTGATCAGCTGTATGAATGGGCAGTCCAGTTGATTAAGCTGAATCTTGCCTATGTTTGTCATCAACGACTTGAAGAGATTCGGGGCTTCAATCCTCCACCCTCACCATGGCGTGACAGACCGATCGAAGAGTCACTGCAATTGTTTGAAGACATGAAAAATGGAAAGGTATGCCCGGGCGTTTCCTGTCACTACTAATGCAACAGATTTTGAAGAACTCTTAGTTAAGCATTATCTAATACTCAGTTACGTTGTGTTTTGGTTTATCAGCCTTCATCATACAAATAAATGTGGTCGGACGCATGCCTGAAACACTACCCAAGAAAGATCTGGTTTTAGTTACGTGGTTAACATGAATTTAAGTACCATCTCACAAAATCCAACAATAAAGCATGCTCATGTCGATCAAAATATCCGACTGCACCATGTGTTTTTCCAACTGCCATTGTCTCAAGGACTGTGCACTTGAGTGCAATGGGATTTTACTTGCGGACTAATTTTACCGAGATTTATTCGACTGTGAAAAGTTGACGGATTTATGGACACACACTATGCGTGCTTATCTTGAACTGTGAACAGTTCAAGATAACGAAATGTATATGGACTGAAGTTACGAGCATAATGAATAGATTCATGAGCGTCACTGTTTACGATATCCATCCCCATCCCTCAGTGTTTAACCATCGGTGACCATGATCTCGCGGTACTCAGCCAGGGAGCCTAACGGGACCTATGTGACCTAGTCTCCTGGTTAGGGTTTTTATACCCTCATGCCAGGTCTTGGTTTGACCGTTTTTGATCTTTTCCATCCATTATCTGCCTCAGTAAACATCGCACGCCGTTGAAACCTATTAGATAACATGGTTAACACATGCACCAATCAAGACAGTCTATGGTGGTTGACCACTTGCTCCAGTGGACGACCGCGATTACCTAAAACTCTGTCTAACATCAGCATTGCTCGTCCGGTCGCCCCACGAGACTGGTACAATGCAACGAAGATAGCGGTGTTCGAACACTGACTTTCCCCATTGTGTGTTGAATGGCAGCCCTTTGATTGTCCGCTTCCCCTTTCCTGAAAATTGTATCTTTGTACATCTAATAAAAGGAAGTAAAATAAAAAATGTATTTTTATCTTGTTCACGTAAAGTCCAAGTCTCTGCACAGTAACGCAGCACTGACCTAACTGATGCAGCATATACTCGACCCGTATCGCGACGTCGATACAAATACCAATCGAGCCTTCTGTATGCGTGCTAACACTTATTCCCTGATGCGTCCCCCGGGTGAGATGTAGCTGCCCATGCAGCCAAATTTGTTCACTACCTTTATTACTGCTCCAATTAGTGTGTTTGGGAGCTAGACTAATCCAGTCTTTTACACGCTGAAGGTGCAAAATGAAAACTGAACAGGCTTACACTAGAACTGAAATTATCCAGAAAAGCTTGCAACTCACCTGGATCTTCACTTATCAGCACAATGTCGTCTGCATACTCCAGGTAAGACTGTCTACCACCTGGGAGCAAATGGATGTTGCTCTTGTCGCGCTAGGATAGGGCTGTTTCAAGAATTAAATTAATGACAGATGAATAGAAAAGCAGAAAGAGAGCAATGGAGTAATCTTCGCCGCGCACCCTTCGAGTTTAGAGCGCTCAACTCAGTCGAAAGCCTCTTTCAGATCGAGGAAGGGAGAGGAAGAAAGAGAAGGTGAATCTACGAAAAGAATGTCGCTAATTGCCAGACAGTTGGACTTGAGCAAACGGACAGAGGTTGTGGTCGTAAAGGACCAGAAGAAAAATGTCACATTGAAGCAATGGAGCCAGATCAACAGCGAACAATAGGGAGTTGAAAATGGTTACGTAATAACAAATAAGAGAGCAGTTCGTCTATGTCAAGGCAGGGGTTAACGACAATCGATATCGAAGTGTTATGCCATAAGCAATTGTTCCGTCACCCACATGTTTTTTATATGTTCACACACGTCTGAATCCAGGTTGTGTGCCAAACAAATCATGGTACAATGATCTTTATAAAAATAAAGACGTTTACTGATTTGCATGTGGGCGGAATACTGCCAGGTTGCCCAAGCCAAGGCGGGTGATTTTTCTTGAGGAATCCACAACCGGAGCCTTTGGCTAACCAAAGCGTGAGCCGCAAGGCAGCGGGGTGGTATGTGAAAACCGCAATCCGTTGGGGGCCAGTGTCCAGTTGATCGGATCATACGCCCTTTGGACGGGGTCAAACTTCCAAGGTTCCCAATACACCTCAATACCAAATTGAACCAGTGATCTTTTCCACAACCAGAAGGTTGAGTGTATGGTTCGTACGCCTCCTCATGGTTGGTTTGGAATCAGGCTTTTTGGCCAACTCCCGTAGGTGAACTACCAATGGTTCACCAACCTTGTTATAGCCCCGGATATCGGCTTTTCGTCCGCTCTCCCCAGTGGGGAGTCACGTTTGCCTCGAGAAAGCAGTGAGTAGGACTTCCTCAGCAGAGGCTATTTGCGATGCTTGGTCATATGCGAGCATTTGGCGAGGTGCAAGGGAAGGGTGACCAGTCGGAACCCTGGATAACTACCCTTGACCATAGTGAGGCTTTTGGAGGCTTTAGTTAGATTGATAAATTGACACTGTTGAAGTTGAAACAGCTGTACAATTCTTCTTAGCTTCTCAGTTGGCGTTTCATCGGCTCTACATACACAACGAAATTCATGTCCACGAATTTTGTTCGTTATTTTTTGCTGTATTTGTTCAAACTGAGTGTGAAATTGCTTTGCCTTTATCTTTTTAATCCGAGTACACGTTTTATCAAAAGGATCCAAACTTCTGTCACTAGTTTTTTTTTCTCTTTTTCCCCCTTCATCGTCCTATTTGTCCTTTCAGATTGACGAAGGATGTGCAACATTACGCATGAAAATCACGCTTGGTGACGGTAAGGTCGATCCGGTTGCTTATCGAATCAAAATGGTACCACATCATCGTACGGGTTCCAAATGGTATGTTCGATTTTGACCCAACAATTTACTGCTTCCAGGTGCATATATCCGACTTATGACTACACGCATTGTCTGTGCGACTCGATCGAGGATATTACCCATTCGTTATGCACAAAAGAATTCCAGGCAAGGTCAGTTCACCACAACTCTTGTGTTTCTATGATGATGATGATGATGATATATATATATATATATATATATATATATATATATGATAAAATATCATCTAGATACGGTATATCGACGTGTTTAACATATCCTTTCGGTAAACTAAGTACCTGTTAGTTTACTATGGTTGCCCCCTTGGATTCGATCAACAGGTCTCACAAGGTTGATAACGCTTAATAAAAGTTCCGGACAAGGGACGCATCCAGTACTACTCGCCTTGTTTGTCAAGAGCACGCACTTCTGACACAGTCAACTGGATATTGTAAGGAAGCAGTATGTTGATGTATGCTTGTTGGTCGTTCCTTGGGAGCTCACTCCACGCTTGTTAGACCTAAATGCAACCCAAGAATCCGTGCACCTCTGTTAGTTTTACACATATTTGTTGGGTCAGCCGATCGAATTAGCTTTCTTCACCTTCCACAGGTCATCTAGTCGGTTGGTTTGAGCAATCGTTACTCTCATCTACGTTTTGCTTACTATTCCAGCGGTTCATTGGGGTGTGATAGGTTCTTCAGTTTCTTGAAGCCACAAGAGAGATTTGGATAAACGACGGAGACCGAATAGGTGAAATACGCTTCAGCTCAGAGGTGCTAGTCCTATTTTATGCCCTTTGCACCTCATGTATCTATTGTTTCTTGTTGTCCTAAGGTTGAATCTGAACAACGTAACATACTGTGTAATAAAAAATAGTTAAGAAGGAATCCGTATCGTTCGGTATAAGCAGAAGGAATATTTTGTCTTTTTGTAACCTATGTAAGCTTATATATTAACATTTCAGTTAAAAATGTACATTGGTCGTCATGCGAAATAAAATACACGGTTTTGTATAGCATGCAACGCGAGGAATCTCGCCGAAATTAGTTTTATTTGCAAAAATTCTGACCTGTTCCTTAATGGTTAGGAGTCGGGCCAGGTAAAGTACAGGGAAATTCCTACAAATGTTAATACAAGTGGTTAAATGCCGAAAAGAGGAGCATGTGGACGCATGGGAATGACAAGATGATAAATTCGGATGCACTCGATGAGGAGCATCGTTTACAATATTATTGGCTAATGTAACACAAAAGTCGATGCAACCAATAATGAGTTCTGTGATTAATGCATCGACGGGGATTAATTATGCACGACTAATTATCATCAAACCACAACGAATACGTTTCAACATCAGCAAAAAAGTAATTTTACAGCGTGTCGTATGCCATAACTAATGGGGTCCCATAGTCAGCTAATATATTTATTTCTCACGTCTGACGCCGGACTGTGTGCCAAACAGATCATGGTACAAGATAAAAAAAGAAAGACGTTCCAGGATTTACATGTGGGCTTAATACTGCTGGCTCATACTACTACCATTACTACTACTACTACTACTACTACTACTACTACTACTACTACTACTACTACTGGCTTAATACTGCTTAATACTGACCCGCAATGCAGGGGGCGGTGTGAAAACCGCAATCCGTTGGGGGTCGATGTCCAGTTGATCGGATCATACGCCCAAGGTGCCCAAATACACATTGATGCCCGATCAAGCCGATGACCACTGCCACAACCGGGAAGGTGTGTGTGGTTCGTGCACCTTCTCTCGGTTGGTTCGGAATCAGGGTTTTTGGCCAACTCCCATAGGTGAACCACCAATGGTTCACTAACCCGGTTATAGCCACGGGTGTTGGCCTTTTGTCGTCTCACTTTTTGTGAAAATACCTCCGCCTAAAGAAGACAATGAATAGGGCTTCCTCAGCAAAGGCTATTTGAGACGCTTGGTCATATGGGAGCATTTGGCGAGGTGCAAGGGAAGGGTGACCAGCTGCAATCCTAGACATCCACCCCCTACCATACTGAGGCTTTCGTAGGCAACTAGGTAACAGTCGAGCTGACATCTCACTGCGGACCTCGACAGGACATATAGTGAAATTTAGTCGTATTCCTCATTGCTCTAGTTGTGTAAACTTTCGGCACGTACTCCGGTATTCAGTCCCCAATGTTTTACTGGTGTTCACTGTTTCTCGCCCGATGATGCAATCCAAGCTCCACAATCCTACAGTAATGTTCCGGCGCACTTCTTCCGGACGCGCAAAACAGCCGCCTTTTACCCCACATTCGAACGAACCGAATGCTCGTTTTACGACACATGCGACAGGCGAGTGTCTCATTTTTCTATGCCAAAAATCGCCCCACTTGATGAGTCTCTGGTAGATCAGCTTTACACAACAAAGTCGACTAATTTTATTTTCACCACTCCACATGCCAGACGTCCGGCCTACTATTGGCTGTGCAATGCACTCGACCTCTACTGTCCTGTACAGTGGGAGTACGGTCGGTTAAATCTGAACTACAATGTTGTATCGAAACGGAAAATCCTAAAACTGATTGAATCGGGGATTGTTGCCGGTTGGGACGATCCTCGCCTGTTCACACTGACCGCTTTGCGTCGACGTGGATTCCCACCGGAGGCAATCAATAGTTTTTGCGAACGCATCGGTGTGACAATGTCCCAGACGGTTCTGGATCCTTCAACACTGGAAGCCTGTGTGCGAGACTATCTGAACGATCATGCACCGCGAGTGATGGCTGTGCTGGACCCTCTTCACGTGTCTATCACCAACTGGAGCGAACTTTATCCAAACCAGATGTCCGTTGAGGTGAGTAGTCTCTCTCTCTCCTACGTCTTTGCTGTCTAGTATTGTATTGCAGCTTGAGCGAGTTATATACAAGCTTTCAGCCAAAAATAGACCACCGTTACAATTCTGGTAAAAGTGAAATGTTAAACGTACAGAAATATGAGTTAATTACTAAGTGCATCTGAAAGCTCAGAACGAACACTTTCCTTGTCGGTCAAGGGATAATTGGGGTTAACTGAACTGGTTGAATTTAGCTTCAATTTAGTTTTCCACTACCGTACACTTTCATGCGCCGGTTTCGATTGCTGTCTCATCAGAGAAGGTTGGATTGTTCAAATCAGTGTCAGAGTGAAAATGGAGAATGCATTAAGACTAAGGTTCCAAAAGAATTGAGATGCACTAGCGCTACTGTTTACGACAGCCACTTCACTTACTGTTTCTCTAACCGTTGGTTACATTGATTTCGATGTCCCCATCCCGGAAGCCTCCCGAGACCTATGTAGTTGAGTCTGTTAGTTAAGGTTTTTATACCCTCAGGCCAGGTCTTAGTTTGAGCACTCTTGGCTTTTTCCCACCCATCATCTGCCTCGGCAAAATGTACACTCCGTGGCAATCTATTTTTTGACATGACCTCAACCTAATTAGCCTATGGTGGTCGACCACTTGCTCCAGTGGACAATCGCGGTTACCTAGAACTCTGCGCCCAACCTCAGCCTTGCTCGTCCGGCTGCCTCACCAGATTCTGCTTAGACAGCGGTGTTCAAACGCCGACAGTCTATCTGTATCCTGTTTTCTCAGTGGCAAAGTTTCTTCGCCCTATAGCGGACCAGGCCAAATTGCCGCGGCATACACTCGATCATTCACAGATAGCCGGATGTCGCGACGACTCCAAAAATATCTCAATTTGGTAGATGCTAATCGAGCCTTCCGTATGCGTCCCCCGGGTGAGATGTAGCCGCCCAGGTAACCAAATTTGTTCACTCCCTCTATTTTTGCTTCAGATGTAATGAATTTGGGAGCTGAACGGACTCAGTCCTGTAGCAACGTTTTAGGTGCAAAACTCATGGTAAACGTTTCCACAAGTACTCAAACTATCAGGAAAAACTTACTACTTACTCGGATTTTCACTTAGTGGTACCGTGTCGTCGGTATACTCCTGATACGATAGTCTGCAATCTGGGGGCCAATCGATGTCGCTATCCTCGCACGAGGACAGGGCTGTTTTCATAACGAAGTAATATAGGAAAGGAGAGAGATACTGAGTGGGTGGTGTCCTCGTTTGGGTTCAAATCCCATCAGGACCATCGATCTTCCCACAGTTCAAAGATAACACAGTTGTGTTCCTTAATCTACGCAAAGTTCTCTTCACTGTGTTTCGTTGTGCATCAGCTTGGAAAAAATGAAATCTCCTTCGCGCCATATCTCTTTCCCAGTCTCATAATGATGTCATCACTCCATGTTTTTCCTCCCCCGGTAACCGTCTTCCGCTAGTTTCAGTCAAATCGCGGTTCCCCCCTCGGTTACTGCACATTCGATGATGGTGTTGGTGGCCCAGTGGTTTGGTCACTGTACCGGCTTTCTTTGATCCTATGATCCGCGATTCAAGCCTCGCCACCACAACCAAACTTAGGTGTAGGCAACTTCGCTGTCATTCGGTTCAATACCACGCCTAACCTAGAGCCTTATGTGGTTCGCCACTCCGGTTTCCATCACTGAGCAGGTCCTCTGGACTATTGGGCTTTCCCCGTCTGCTATTCATCACACTAAGGTGTGTAATAAAAAAAACGATATGGTTGAATAGAGAACTGAATTCTCCCATCTCATTTACTCTACTTGTTCATCACTGTAGTTGGACGTCCCGGATTTCCCGTCGGATCCCGAGAGTAAAACACACAAGGCCACACTCTCCCCGGAAGTGTTTATTGATTCGACTGATTTCCAGGAAGTTCCGGATAAGGGCTATCGTCGACTTACTCCTTCCCAGTCGGTTGGTCTCCGTCACGCGGGTCTTGTTTTGGAAGCGACCGGAATCATGAAGGTGAGTATTGTTTTTTTATACATATTGACACACTATCTCTCACTGACAATTAGCATAACAAGGCCTTTGTGTCGTGAGCGCTCATCACAGTTTACCCCCGGTCGACCAACCGTTCTTATTGATGACCGCCATGTCATGGGGGATTGTAACTTATGCGAACCAATTTGGCCCCCTAAAACCGACTGGTTTCCCAGAGAATTCCCGCGCCCCCCCATTTTTGTCTTTTATGTGCCAACCAGAAAAGGTAAGTGACGGTCGAGTTCATTTGAATCCAGCGGGTGCGAGTCTGCTCTCCGTACACGAACTAAGCTAAGGTGGTTTTAACCGCAGTTCACAAGATCGGCTCAGTGATGCGTTCGTTTAATCGAATCCGTTTGCTTTTCCATGTCCGGACTCGTGGATTTCACGAATACTAGTAGCAATACGTTTCTATTTAGATATGATTGCCTACCATCTAAAGGTGAACGAGAACCCCGGACGCACTCCTTTCCAACAGGCTGGCTGAACGCGGTTCAATGGTGGTATGATAGAATTGTTATTAGGTGACTGTCATCGTGCCTTCTTTCATTTATTTTCTTCCGAACGGCGGG